ATTCGCTACAATGACATGTTCCACGACCCGCTCTCGCGGTGCAACTGCACGCCGCCGTACACCGGCGAGTACGCCATTGCCGCCCGCTGTGACCTGAATGAGAAGGACGGCCGCTATCCGTTTGAGAGTCTGAAGTTTCGCCCTCACGGCGCCATCGACGCCAAGATGACCAGCGCCTCGCTGGTGGCCAGCCTGCAGATGGTCGCCGTCAGCGGGCCGACCGACCAGCCCACGGTGCCGCCCTTTAGCTGGGCCACAACTAAAATTACCGATCAGCGACACGTCGACCAGCCGACGGAGTGGCGCTTCAAACCGGTGAGAACGGTGTGGAATGGCGAGGAGGCGGCGGAGACGGGCTTTCCCAACTTTGAGTTTGATTTGTGAGGCAGGCTAATTGAAACAAGAAAACTCCGCTATTTACTACTACTATCACTGCCCTGCCAGGTAATGTTGTCATCGTGGACTGCACCNGAGTGGCGCTTCAAACCGGTGAGAACGGTGTGGAATGGCGAGGAGGCGGCGGAGACGGGCTTTCCCAACTTTGAGTTTGATTTGTGAGGCAGGCTAATCGAAACAAGAAAACTCCGCTATTTACTACTATTACTACTACCACTGCCCTGCCAGGTAATGTTGTCATCGTGGACTGCACCGAGAAAGGCAAACATGACCGCCATGGCGCAGTTGCCCGTCAGATTGCAGACGGCGGCAATCAGCGGCCGGGCGGCATTGTCCGGGTCGTAGCCCAGACGGGCGCACAGGTACACGGCCACGTGGGCCACCTCGGCGGTGAAGGCCACCTGCAGGAAGACGGAGAGGATGAAGGCGCCGATGAAGGGAGCGGTCAGGTAGAACTGATAGCTGCTGTGCAGCTGAAAGATGTACAGCAGACTGAGGTTGAAGAGCTGCGCCGGCAGGGAGACGCTGAGGAGGAGGTGGGCGATGCGGGAGTTCAGGTCGGCTCGACTGCAGAACGGACTGAGCAGGTTTCGGTAGGGAACGCCGCGGAGGAGCTTTCTGTTTTGCGCCTGCATCTGCGCCTTCAGGTTGATGCTGACGGCGCCGGCCTGAATGGAGATGGCATTCAGAGCCACTCCATTCACAACCGGTTGAAGGGCGGAAGCGAGGGGGTGAAGGTGAAAGTTGATGGCGGCAGTCAGTCCGCCGGGCGCCTCCAACAGGACGGCCATCACCAGCGGTGGCCAGCAGTAGAGGATCACCGAGCGGGTGAAGTGGTTGCGGAAGGCGTAGTAGCCGGCCAGCGGGGCCAGCAGCAGCGCCGGCGTCAGACTGATGAGGGCGTGCAGCCAGAGAGGGACGGCGTTCTGCTCCAGTTTGGTGGT